GGAGTGCCTCAGGGTTCTGTTCTAGGCCCACTGCTTTTTTTGTTATATATCAATGACATACAGGAATCATCAGATAAGCTTAGTTTTACCTTTTTGCGGATGACACAAATATCCTTTGCTGATAAAAATCTGAAATCGTTGGAACTCTGCGTAAATCAAGAGCTTAACAAAGCATATGATTAGTGAACTGCAAACAAATTGACCTTGAATATTTAAAAAAGTAACTTCGTCATGTTTTGCCCTGCCCAAAGGAAACTTTCCTATCAACCTAAAATCGTGATATTTGATAACAAACAAAACAAGAAGGTGGCTCTAAAGCATAGAGGTTATGTCATATATCTCGGGATTTTAATTGATAAAAATTTGTCTTGGAAACACCATATTGACCATGTAATCATTAAAGTAAGCAGAACCGTACGATCAATCGCAGAATTACGACACTTTCCGCCAACGCATACCCTCTTAAATATATACCAAGCTCTTATAGCTCCTTACTTAACATACGGTCTGACAGCATGGGGTCAGGCTTGTAAATCTTACCTTGACAAGCTCCTAAAGTTGCAGAAATGAGCTCTTCGCTTTAACTACTTTTCTGATCATAATGAGCATGCAATTCCTTTATTTGTTGACGTTCATATCTTACCGCTAAAATTTGTTTATTATGAATCTATTGCTAATTTGATGTTTGACGTTCGAAACAGAACAGCTTCATCCAATATTGAAGACCTATTTCAAGATCTATCTAATGTTCATTCTTACAATACACGTTCTTCTGCCTCTAATAACTTCTATACCAAACCTTCTAGGCTATCCGTTCAAGCGAATTCCTACTCTCGAATAGGAGTAAAAGTGTGGAATGCAATACCTCAAGCATTAAGAAATCTTTCTAAAAATGCGTTTAAAAGAAAACTCAAACGAATTTTATTCAACATATTAGGTTCACAAGACTCTAATATAGATTTATCTGAGATTATATAAAATGTAAATTCCTGGTAATAATTCTCCTGATCTATCCTGACTATTTTTATAAACAGTAGCTGTACCTTTTATATTTTAAATTAGGTCAATGTAACGGTTTTTCTTGTTGTTATTCAATACTGTCTCTTTCCCTTCTCTTTTATCAGTTAATTTCTAGGGTCTTTTTTTGCAATTCGGCTATTGAGGCATGGCCCGCCTAGATTAGTCTTTGCTAGTTGCGGGCATGCCCTTTTCTGTAAAATTTAATTGGAAATCAATAAAGTGTGTATGTGTGTTCAGTTTCAAAAGCTATAAATCCAGTTCAAATATTTCAACAAGATTAAGTGCCTTCTGTGCTCGAGTCTTTAGTTCTTTTAATTTTATGTGTGTGATTGTTTGGTTTTGAGGTCTAGAATTTCAGTTCCTCTGTGAATCCCCAGGCTTTTAATTCTGTTACCTGTAAATGTACTTAGTAAGTTGTTGATTTTCACCGTTCAGTTTTCTTAAACTTTCCTTTTCTCTGACATATTCTATTCTAATCTCTGAAATCTTTAACCAGTTTCTCCTTTTCATTCCTCAAGATTTTGATATTTTGCTCTCCAGATACATATTTCTTTCTCTGCTTTTTCAAGTTTTGACTGAATGGCATGCAGATCTGCTCCCTACTTCTCTACCCAGGTCACATCATTTTTCAAAATAACCAGCTTACGCAATTTTTCCTCATGCCCCTTTCTGTTTTTACAATTTCCTTTTCTGTTCAGAGTCTGATTTGTGATTGAAGCGGTTTGAAAGTCGGCCTTCAATTCGATCACTCTCTCAACTGATCTTAAACGCATGGCCAGGGATGATTCCATTTAGCATGTCAATGTATGCAAGGCCTGGGGTGTCTTTTTTCAATTTTCTTTTTGCAATTTTGCCATTGCATTAGTGCGGCATTCTTGACCGCCAGCCAGAATAGGACTTCATTACCACCTTCACTTTGTTTTGTCACATATTTTAACTGAGCTGCTGGTGGACCGCAAATATATATGAGGGGGTCACGGACCGGGTGACGATCAGACACTTTTCATTATTGTTTTGATTTTTTTTCCCGCGCGAAACCAAAACAAAAAATTCTTAAATTTCTCCAAAAGGGCATCTTATACCGAGCCCCCAGCCTCGTGATCACCCCCTGTAGTTACCAGTCTTTTATCTGTCATTGAGCCGTAGGTATTAAAATAGCTATCGTTTTTGCACAGCATTTAGTGCGAAGAAGAGAGACGTTCAGTACTGTTATTTCAGCGCGATCGAAGGAAGATTACTGTTCGTAGATGCGTTCATATTTGCTGAAAGTAGGCAAAAAAAAGCGGCAATATTTTTAGGGTTTGCAAAGTTCTTTTTGCCGTAAACGTGGAATGACATCTTTGAACTTAAACAATTTGATTGGGATGGATCGATACCAGTAAGGGATTTCGGCTGAGTTAAGATTCGGGAAATGATATTTACGAAGGTAGACGCCATTTTCCGTATTGTAATGGGAATAAAACGTTGTAAGTTATAACGGAAAAAACCGCAACGACTGTTTCATTTACCAAAACACTGTAATTCTGTAATGAAAGTACTGATGAGTATCATTCAAACTGGCATTGGGATGGCGGGGTTACGTCCATGATACGAATTTTATTAACTGGTTTTAAATGAATCCCATACTAAGCTTTGTATTCTTCAGCGAGTTTTTAAACTCTTCTAAGACTCTAAGTCTTGCGGTCTATTGCGCACGCGCGATTCGGAATTTCTGGCCATGATTGGCTCATTACGTGGAAAACCCTGTTATTACGTATGCTACGCCGCAACGTATCATATCCTTAGACAAGTCTGTGATTTAATTCTTCTCGTTGGTCAGCTAATTACTATAATTCCAGAGGTCTGTGAAGACGGTATTTTTATTATAGTGTCAAAAATAACTCTTGCCTAATAGCAATGCCTTATTACTACCAGTGATATGTAATTTGAGTATGATTGAATAGGCCTGCCTAGACGAAAAATAAAAAAAATTTTCATTTCAAAACCTACACATTTAATAACTTGTACTATATATTTTCAAATGCTTCGATAGTATTACGTTTTACAGTAGTATCGCCTTATAAGCACAAGGCTTGTTAAGTTTCTCGTACATCACCCCGCATAAAGGTGTCTGCCAAGAAAAAGCTATGTATTTCAAATATGGAATTACGCAAAAAATGGTCCAAAGTCATATTTAATTTTTTTTCATTGTAACACCAACATGTACAGCAATTATATTCTATTACTATCAAAGGTATATAAATTGGTCATGATTGAATACACGCTCTGAAAAAAGTACCTTAACGGCACAAGGCCTTAGACTTGCTGCTATCAAATACATTTGACTTCCATAGATGGCAAAACTAACTGTCATTCACTTACATTAATGTGAATTAACCATTCTAGCTCCAGTTACATGTGTACAAATTATTAAGTTTTCATTCAAAGGCAAGAATAATAAGGCTAATTTTCATGAACACAAACGATTGCTGATCATGTTACCATTAGGAGGTCTATGGCAACCCCTCCTTGTTGCTTATTAAATTCGTCTATCTAAATGTATTATCTCGCTATTTCCAGCACTGAGTCCTCTTGGAGACTTACTTATCATTACGTAAATCAAATAATAGCGTTGCCTGTACCGAACCTTCTACCAATACTGCTCTTACACAATACACCTTTTATCGCAAATTTGCTGCGAAAACTACTACTAACGCTACGTTACACGAGATTATTTTTAAAGAGACAGTCTTGCCAAATTTAAGCCTCCTAAAGCTCTCATGTTTAACAAGCTCTTGTTTGTTAAACACTATGATAATTGTTATCATCATCATTTCTATCTTTCATATCATCTTTTTTTTTTTTGCTTTCGATCCTTAGGTCTTATACGAAATATGCTCCGCAGAATAACTAGAAGGGCTTTGTTTTCCATTTTTTTTTTCGGGTGCACGTGCCAAAAAAATTCCATAAAAGGCGGAAAAAAAAGATGTACGTCTACAGCGGTGTCGCTAATGTGTTTAAACAATAGAAAAATGAGATGATTGTTCAAAATACGCCACGGATAATGATTACCGAAATTATTGGTAAACCTTAACTGCCCTAAAATATTTTAATATGTTGTATTCGGTAATTATCTCATTGTGGCGAGTGTACCAAATACGTAAACAGTGCCTCTCACACGTGCTAATTGGCTGGTTCGGATGTAATTGACAAGTACTGTTTGCCTCCAAGCATGATTGTTGATCTTGCAAATATTCGTCATCTTGCGTTGCTAATTTTTGAACCGAGATCAAAAACTAGCAACGTGTCAATATGACAATGCTACAATAAGGTCGTGAGATCAATGCCACGAAATAACTTGTTACAAAAAAAATTGTTTTAAGGAAATTTTTTTTTCTTTGCGACCAGTCTAGTTATTGCACGCCACACTGGCATCCTCACTATGTACACAGTTATGTTTTTCCCAGCCAGGGAACGCACATCGAGATAACATTGCCTCTCCCCCTTGGCAGTAGACATCATCCATCCAGACTGGGTCAGAACCCTGACCGTATTTAGCGCAACAACTAGCCTGAGATGCACTAGAGAAGCCGAGCTGACGACAAACCACATTGGCTTCGTTAATTGTCCAGTGATCATCACACACTGTGCCCCACTTCCCGTTGTGATAAACCTCTACACGGCCGTAGTTTGCTCCACCGCCCATTAAACGGATAGGAGCGTCCTCATTAGTGGCTGTGTGATCAACATACTACTGACTAAGTATTGGAGGTACCTGAGATCAAACTGGCCTCAGCTGTGCTTGAATCATTTAAATTAGGTTTTAAATCATCCGAGGAACGGTCTCGGGAGTGCTGTGGAAATCATGCTTAACCCTTTAACTCCCAAGATCTTATTGTCAATTCTCCCCTGGTGGTAGATGAGAATAACAAAAACCTGCCTGCTACGTTCGAGGAGAGCAATAACAAATAACATTGGCAAAAAGTAAAAGTTATCACCGAGAAGCAATGAAAGAAGTAACCATGGAGAAGACTTGGTTGAAAATATATTAAAATATCAAAATTCCAAAATACATACAGTGTGAGAGAAATAAGGACATTTCGCCAAAACGAGCCCCTTTAGCAGTTTAGAAGTTTTCTTGCTATTGTTTTTGTAGTTGCTGCTGTTTTTAACTGCACTTACGTCGTTTTCAATAATTTTATAACACGAGCTGAGGTCGCTTACAGTGTTCAGAGATTGTACCAATTAAAATAAACTGAGAAGCAGAATGTCGCGGCAATAGGTCTTCCCTACCCAAAAATAATGTAGAAGACAAGAGGAGGAAGCGTAAGGATATAAAGGAAGAAGGATCCATCAACTGGATACTAAAAAATCAAAGCAATAACGAACAGGTGTGCTATAATAGGATTATAAGCCCTCTTAAATGGGTTTTTAGTCAATCAGAAATAACCTCCTAGCAATTCATCTAATTTCCTTAGAAGTTTTTTTCAACTATACCTATTTCTTCTTCTTAGCTAAAGAGTGCCACTATAACACAATATATTAACTGGCCTAGGATTGAGACCATTGCATCATCTACCTGGCAACCAAATGTGCCTTAAATAGCCTTACCTGTGCAAGATTTCCCATCACCAGAGAATCCACTCACACACTGACAGTGAAATGAGCCTTCAGTATTCTGACAATTGGCATTTGGATCACAGACGGGTATGGAAGAGCTGCATTCGTCAACATCTACAAAAATCAAATGGACAGTAGTGGAACTCCGATTAATGACTTTTACTGCTTGTAACTCTAAAAGGAAGCATAGGAAGAAGTGACAAGAGACCTGTTAAATATCGGTGGTACTATTTTTTAACACCTGGAATAACACAATTTAAAATTTTCCCCCCTCAACTCTCCCTCCTATACACCCTTAAATCTCTTGTTAATTCGATTTTCTGAAATTGATTCTTTCCGCCCTTAACTCTAAAAGGAAACAGAGCGAGAACTCCGCAAGAAAATTACTCTTTGAAGCTAAGCTTAAGGGATTTGAGTAACAGACTACCTGGTCATGCTGGTTGGTGTTATATGTTAACCAACTATAAAGAAATACGGACGCATATGGTTATATCCAACCACTCTTTCTTGGATGGATGTTAATATTCCTTGAATAACAAAGTTCGAAATCCCCATCCTACACATCCTCCGTAAGTCTCTTAATGATTCGATTTTCTAAAACTGCACTTCTACCTATTTATTGGTTCCCTTAGAGAGGAATCGGAGAGTAAGGAATCTACTTCAAAAACATAACACACTTACATGACTAAGGCCCAAACATCTGCGCGTACCATGCAACCACCAAAACTGCCTTAAAAAATAGCCTTACCGATGCAAGATTTCCCATCACCAGAGAATCCACTCACACACTGACAATGAAATGTGCCTTTCGCATTCTGACAATTGGCCTTTGGATCACAGACGGGGGCGGAAGAGCTGCATTCGTCAACATCTGCAAAGAAATTAAACAATCAGTAGTGGAGCTCCGATTGATGACTTTTACTGCTTGTAACTCTAAAAGGAAACACAGGTAGAAGTGACAAGAGACCTGTTCAATATCGGCGATGTTATTTTTCAACATATGGACGCACTTTGTTACATCGCAACACATTTCGTGAAAGGGTGTTCAAATTTGTTGGAACAACACCATTCAAAACTTTCAATGCCAAAGTAAAGTGCATGTCTGAAATACTTCGTCTATACCTAATAACCGACAGCATACTAAAAACAATATATACTTTCATTAAACTGCAAGTTTTCTGATAAGAAATAAGTCACTTCTTGAAGGTAGGGCTGAAAGGGATATCTGACAAGTGACCTGGTTATGCTGGTTGGGGCGTTTCGTGCCCAGTCACTTTGTACCCGGCTTTGTCGATTCGCACTCAGTTGGTTGAGTCACTTTGTACCCAAACTAATCAAGTAGATTGTTCATGCTTATATGTTAAACGATAAGAATAAACAGAAATAAACGAATTTACAACCGTCTATAACAAAGAGATAAAAGTCTCACTTTCGCTGGCTCTTATTTTGTTTTATATTTTATTACTTATAAAGTATTACTTTTATTTTATTGTTTTTATATATTTTTTTAAATAAACGAATTTACAACCGTTTATAACAAAGGGATAAAAGTGTCACTTTCGCTGGCTCTTATTTTGTTTTATTTCCACCTTCCTTCAGTCTCTTTTTTATTCTATTTTCTAAGAGTGTGCTGGTAACTATTTGTGTTCTCATTATCTCAAGAGAGGGACCAAAGAGTAAAGTGTCTAGCCCCAAAATACAGCACACTCACAAGACTAAGGCCAAAACCTCGGCGTTCATCAAGTTACCACCCTATCTCTCAAGAATATCCTTACCGGAGCAAGATTTCCCGTCAGCAGAAAATCCAGTCTCATCTCATTTCCTTACAAGTTTTTTTCAACTCTACTTATTTCTTCATCTTGGCTAGAGTGCCA